CCCCGCCCCGCCAGCCCAGCAGCCCCCGGCCCTGCCGCCCCCCCGCAGCCGGCTGCTCCCCCCAGCGCAGGTTCGATAATGACAAACCTATTAACGCTAATTAACTGGGCCTCAAGCTGGTCAATGCTGTAAGTGCGCTCTCGATTTCAAAGGTTTGTCGTGGTTTAAGTGCCGGCACCAGGACAAGGCTCCAGGCTAAAGTACCCCACCGGCCTTTCCGGAGGCAGCGGCTGTCACACTTTGGCTACATCTTCACGCCTTTTCCCCTCAGGGCTCGGCCAGTGCCGGCGAGCCCAGACAGGGTGCCGGGGGGGGGTCCCCACCTGGCAGCCCCCTCCCCTCCTTGCCCCCACCGGGGCTCCCCGGGGGCCTGCTCTCTCCCACATTGCAGTGGGGGACACGGTGACACCGCCATCCCCTTGCACGGGGACAGACGGACCCACAGAAAGCACCGCATCCTCCCCGAGCCGCCCGTGCTGCGGCAGAGCGAGGCCACGTCCCTGCTCTTGGCCCTCCCCAGCACTGCCAGACCACGGCGCAAATATTTTATTAAAAAGCAACTCCAGCAGAAGGGATAAATATTCCATCTGAGTGGTGGCAGACACACACGGCTCCGCTCGAGCCGGAACACACGGGGATGGGCACCGTCATCCCAGGGGCACCAGCCCCGGGCACAGCTCTGCAGCCATTACCAGAGCACACAGGGGAGGGGGAGCTCGCTGGCATCCCCAAACCCCAATTCCCACCAGCAAGGAGGGGGCAGGAGGCTCCGGGGATGGGCTGGGGAGAGGGGCTGCTCGCTGAGCAGTGCCCCCATGGGTGCAGGTATCCCCAGCACACTCAGCCCTCGCGTCCCCTGTGTCCCCAGTGAGAAGGGGACACACCACCCCGGGGCCAACGGCACCCCAAGCCCCCGTACCCAGCCTGGCCATGGCATGAGCATGCGGCTGCAGTGATTCCCGTCACGTCAGAGGCTCATCCGGCCCCGGCACCGGGTGAGGAGGGCCAGCAGGAGTGGTGGCCGAGCCGTGGTTCCACATTAATGCCAGCGATGAATATTAATAGCAGGAAGAGGCAGGCACTAACGAGGCCACCTGCCGATTCGCACCTCATCTACGGCAATGTAACCAGGTCCCAAATGTGTCCCCGAGAGAGCAGGGACAGGGCTGGGCTCACTCCTGCCCACAGCCACAATCCTCCAGCCGGCAGTGCTGGTACCCGGCACAGCCACGTCCCCAGCCAAAATCACGGATGGCATCCGGTGCTCCCGGCAAGGGACTGGCAGTGAGGTGTCCCTGGGTGCTGCACGGTGGCAGTGAGGGAAGGCTACGGCCCTCCTGCTCGGCCTCAAAGCCAGCCCCCATCCAACCGCCAACCCACTGGCACTGCCACGTCTCTGCTCTTGGCTAGGCACCTCTCCCCATGCAGCACCCATCTCCCACCACCCATCTCCCACCAGCACCCCCCACCTCGGCACCCAGCATCCCTCCTCAGCCCTGCGGAGCACCCCTGGCAGGGAGGGCGAGTCCAGAGGGGATGCCAGCGCCCCAGCATCCACCGGCAGCCCGGCATCCACCGGGAAGTGGGGCTTAAGGTTTCATTCAGATAACAGAGCCCCTTAATCCGCTGCCTTTGAAGTCAGAGACATGAAAGCGGCTGGGTGCCAAAGCCGGAGAGGAGGCAGCTCCACTTAAAGGGACAAGCCCACGCGGAGCCGCCCGCACTCACACCCATCCCCTGCCCCCCGCACCCATCCCCTGCCCGCGCCCACCTTCCCACCGCTCCCTTGCCCAACCCGAGCGCGGGGCTGCTGCGGTCCCACCGGGGAAACCATGGTGAAGTGGGGACAAAGCCCGCAGGCACGGCCAC